GGCTTCTGTGGATAGCACAGATAATCTGTCTCCGGGGCTCCTACAATCAGACCTTTCCCAGCCCTTTTGCTTCATTTCCATCCATCAATCACCCCTTAAGTACATTCCTGTTCCATCTGTGAGGAGGAAGCAGCGGTCCCAAGGGAGTCCTTACTCCCATCACCACCTCCATGCTTGCCTCTTCAGTAATGCTGACAGAACAAGAGCCATTTAATTTAGAACAGATCTGAGCTCCAAGATGTCAGATGTTCTTAAGTTTCCAGCCTGGTAACGGAGGGGGACTCTCACTGTTTTTCTGGATGTGTCCTGAACTACAGGACATAGTATGATGGTCTCTGAGTATGGAAAGCTGCTGTGCCATGTTTAAAATAAAGCCCTCCCCTTCCATGCACTGCCCTCCTGAACCTGAAGTAAGTCACAGAACTCCTCGGTCTTACTGGGACGAGTGCAGGCATCCAGATACTGAGAGACAGAAAGTGAGTCTTATCCATTATTAGGTACGTGAGGGGGTACCACACGGAGGTGGGCAGAGACCTGTTTTTCCCTGCAAAGGAGGGCAGGATGCATTCCAATGGAGCAAAGCTCAGGGAACCAAGGTTCAGTTTGGATGCCAGGAAGTACTTCCCAACTGTTAGGTCCCCAGGGGTATGGAATGGGCTTCCATGGGAGGTGCTTGAGGCCCCATCCTTGAGGGTTTTCAAGGATAGGCTGGACATGAACATGGTAGGCATGTCATAAGCAGAGTTGGCTGGAGCCAGGGGTCAGACTAGATGGCCTGGGAGGCCCCTTCTGACTCGCTCCATGTTTCATTACATTCCTACACTGCCCGTAGCTGAAGTCCTCTGGGTGATTCACAACATTAAGTCACTCATCCAGTTTTCAGTCTGTCCCAACCCTGCTTAGAAGCCAAGAATTGGCAGGATCAGGCACTTCAGGCTATACAAAAGCTATATGGTATTATGGTATGTGGAAGTTATATTATGGTAAAGATCAGACCCCCTGCTGCATGGATGAATAATTCTGCAATGAAAGATTGAAAGTTCCTTGTTTTCTCTTTGTTACTTTGCTTGAAATAAGATTTCATACGTATGCAGAGAGAGAACTCCCTGGTCTGACAAATCTCTCTCAACAAGCTTTGACGGAGCCTCTTTTCCCTACCTCCTCCCCCAGTATTTCTACAGCCAGTGCCCCGCCAGGTTTCTGAGGGCCCTTGAGAAAGATGCCCTCAATAAGCCCCTTTCTCAGCCATTGACAATGGCAGTGAGAAGGTCGATTCAGTGAGGAGGGGTCTTTTCCAAGGACCGCCACTGGACAGGCAGATGGCCAGTGGGCGAGCAGCCAGGCTCACCCCCTGCTCCTCCTCGTCACCAGCATTTTCGGGGCAAGAGGCAAGTGAACAAACCAGGTGGGGAAGGGAAAGAAGAAGAGCCAGTCCAGGGGCTTTGGTCAGTGGGGTGGGGCCCCACCATGCCTACCCTTGGCAGCAGTCCTGCATACCAACTGAACTCTTAATAATCTCCTGGACCCAGGTGCCAATCCCGTGACTGGCTCTTGCAAGTAGCCAAGAGGGGCAAGGGGCAAGTAAACGGGTGGTGGAGCGTACCAGCCCAAGCATCATGTTCACTTCCTCAGGCCACAACAACTGAAACTCATCCAACAATGATGGGCCAGACAGCGCTTTGGACACCTCCCGTTCTGGAGTCCTATCAACTGTGGAGTCCAGCTCCTGGCGAATTTGAGGGATTTTCTCCTTGAAGTGCTGGGCAAAGTTGCCACAGCTGATGCGTGTCACCAAATCTTTTTTTTTATTATTTGGCCAGAGTGTGTTAGGATTTGCCCTCCCGCCCCCTGAGATCGGCAACAGAAGCCCTCCTCTGGGAACCCGCTGTGAAAGACGTTAGGAGACAGAGTACCCGGAGGAGGGCCTTCTCTGTGGTGGCGCCCCATCTGTGGAATGCGCTCCCCAGAGAGGTCTGCCTGGCACCGTCATTATATGTTTTTCGGAGCCAGGTTAAGACCTTTTTATTTAATCAATATTTTAATAAGTTTTAATCTCAAATTTTATTATTGTATTTTATTAATTGCAGCCAGAGTGGGTCGTCAATTTATTTATGCTGTTAGCCATCCAGAGACGTTAGTAATTGGATGGCATACAAATTTTATAAATCAATCAATCAATCAATCAATCAATCAAAAGCTCTGCTGGATGGCACTGTAAGAAGGCAATGGAAGCGGAGAAGAACTGCCTCTTTGCCACCCTCACCACCACAGCCTAGGCCCAATAATGAGCACGTAAGTGTGTTCGGTCAGATTCGTTCCGTGATTTCCTCCACCTGTGCTCTAATCATCTCCCACAGCTGGTTCATCACCCACAGCTCAGGCATATACCACGGTGAACGAGCACTGCCTAGCAACGGCGGCACAAGCTCTGGTAACTTCCCGGTTGGATTGTTGTAACGCGCTCTATGTGGGGCTGCCCTTGAAAATGTTCCAGATACTTCAATTAGTACAAATGGAGCTGCCAGGCTGCTGATGGGGGGCTTGTCATTATTCTCATATAACGCCGGTCCTCTACCAGCTACACTGGCTTCCGATTGAAGTCCAGGCCTGATTCAAGGTGCTGGTGCTAACCTATAAAGCCCTAAATGGCTTGGGACCAGGACACCTGAAGGAACATCTCCTTCCCTATATGTCCTCATGCCCTTAAGATCAGCAGGAGATGCCTTGTTCTGGGAACCCTCCTTGAAGGAGGTAAGGAACGTGTCTACCCGGAGGAGGGCCTTCTCTGCGGGGCGCCCAGACTGTGGAATGTGCTTCCCAGAGAGGTTTGCCCGGCACCGACTTTATACTCTTTTCGGTGCCAGGTAAAAACCTTTTTATTTAACCATCATTTTAAGAACGAATGGATTTTAGATGTTTTAAGATTAAAGTCACATTTTCTTTCTTTAGCTTTGCTGAATTATGAATGTTATTTATTTATTGCTTTGTCATTTATTGCATTACTATTGTTGATTGTAATTTTATTATTATTACTGTTTTTAATTATTGTAAGCCATCCTGAGACATTTTATCAGGAAGGACGGAGCAAAAATGTTTTAAATAAATAAATAAAACTGACCTCTGCTGAAATCTCCAGCCTGTTCTTTTACTTTGGACCACTGAATCCAGGACCAAGTTCCCTGTGGCTGCTGTTTCTGACCTACACTCTTCACTCTTGTTGCTTCCTAATTTGTTTTCCCTCCTGGACTCCCATACACACCTGCCACTGAGTGCGTCCTTCCTTGTTCCTCTCCGATAGCATCTCTCTCGCTCTCGTTCTGTGTGCTTCTGTCAATTAATTAATTAATTTCAATACTGCCCAATAGCCAATGCTCTCTGGGCAGTTCATGGCACCTTGCCTCCCCTTCTGTTCACAGAAGCTTTCCACCATGGCAGCACGAGGGAGGAACAGAGTATTGCGTCCAGCTGCTGCTGCAATAAAGGTGCAGGCTGGACAGCTTCCCAGGTGCTTGGTTTAAGGGCAGCCCTGGAGCAATGCAGCTCTCTCTCTCTTGTCTGAGCAGGTAGGTGCTGAACAAGCTACTCAGAAGGGAAACAGCAGACCAGCCGTGGTTACCGGGGTGCCATGTTGAGAGGCCAAAGAAAGGAGACACCAAAACTCATGTCGTAGCAGCAAAGAGATCTGCTTGAATGTGATGAGACTTTGGCATTTTTGAGCCATCAAAATGTGCTGGACCAGCCTTAGTTGGGAAGATCAGGTTCAAAATACAAGGCGGCAGAGCCAGAGGCCCCGTCTGCAGCTTCAAAGCTGTGGGGCAGTGAGGCCCAGATGGGACACTAAACAATGGTTTAGCAAAGGGGTCCAGAACCCGTTCCAGCCTTGGAACAAGTTCAATTTCAGAGAAGCTCTCAAGAGCTGCATGCCTGTGGTGGGGCAAGGCAAAAGCAGGTGGGGGCAAACTATCCGCAATAGCAGCATGTTTTAGTTTCAAACGCTCACTGTCACTAACTAAGCCTTAGAATGGCGATTTCAGTCTTTAAAAATGAGAGACCACCTATCAGTTGGGAGAATGGGACAGCCACAGCACTGTTGCATGGAGGAGGTGAAGTGGCCATCCTGAGAACTCTAGTGGGTCATTTTGGGAACACCCAAGCACCAGATTTAGTTCCTAAGCCCCAGTTTCAGCTCGTCCAGCAAGCCATGGGCTCATGTGCTCCCCTGCTCTGGTGAAATTGATTAGAAGCATCTGCTCCCAATTCTAAACCAGCCCAAGTTTCTCAGTATGTTTGAATTGAGGCAACCCTAATTACTTTAAACTCTGCCTTCTTAACAAGTCAAGATCATAAGACACCGTTTGATCCTAGTTTATTTAAACAGACCATTCAGCATCTGGAATCCAACAGGAGCCGGCCAGATGACTCTAGGAAGCCCACTCTAGGCAGTGTCCCCGCCAACCCTCACCCTCCCTGAGCGATACTTTGTTTTGAAGGAAAGGCTTTTACAGAGCTGGTGTGGTCTAGTGTTAGGAGTGTGGTTGACCTGGAGACCTGGGTTCTGGTCTCCAATTGACCATAAAGCTCCCTGGGTGTCTTTGGGCCAGTCACTGACTCTTAGCTCAACCTACCTCACAGGGTTGATGTGAGGGTAAAGTACAGAGGAGGAGGATTATCTGAATTATATAAGCTGCTGCCTTGGGTTCCTTGCAGAAAAGATTTGGGCTATAAATAAAAAGAAAGGAAGACATTCTACCAGTCCATCATATTAAGTGTAAGCATCCCCTGCAGTTTTGGAAGGGTGGTGGGCAGAATACCTCTGGAAGGTGATAAATAATGTAGAGATGCCTGTGTGAGAGCTCTTAATACATTTCAGGGATTTGGGACATTTTGATGGAGTCAAGTGTTGGCACAGTGTTGATTTCTTCTGACACCTCCCCACCATCTCCTCTCACGGACACACAAACCCAGCTGTCTCTGCCGAATCTTATTTTCGGGGCCTGTACCTGTCATAGTCTCCATTACACAGGGCTCGCACAGGAATAGTGAAGGACTGCCACACCGGGTTCAGCGTGTTCTTCACCACTTCCGTTTTGTGGCAGATGGTAAATCTGGCAGGATACAAAAGGCCAGCATGGTTGTTAATTAAGCCTTAGCCCCCTGAGCCTGCCCTACTTCATTAACAAAGAACAAGGAAGGGGAAACCCTCATTAAGTTCCTGCTTTCTATCCCTGATTCTCCGGACACCCACAGAAGAGCAACATTGGCACAGGGTTGGATCAAGACCAAAATGGATCACTTGAACTGCTTCTCTGAGGACACATGGTAAGAAAAATACCTCCAGTATTTACTAATAGCAAATACAAATAAATATCCTTTACAGAGAATAGAACTCTACCTTTTCCTTTTTTAGAACTAATGTTTCATTAACACAGTTCCTGCACCAGTCATGTCATATCTGGTTCCCAAGTAGCACATGGAGAAGGTCAGTTGAAGGTGACAAGGTCCTACTGGACATCAGTTAAAGTGTCCAGGAAGTTGTTTGCACTGATTCTAGCAAGGGGAAGCTATCTACGGGACCTCCCGCCTTACTAGGAAAGTGCCCAGGTATGAAGATCTGCTGGTTGCATTATCCACAGGGACCTCAGGCATGCACAAAAGCCCTTTCTCCTTCGTGGCCCCAAAACTACAGAAAGAGTTCCTTCAAGAAGCACAACAGCCCCTCCCCACTCTCTTGACTGTTAGAAAGGGTATAAAAATGCCTCTTCTCAAGCAGGTGCTTTCGAATGCACAGTCTAATGTTTTACCATTTCTACCATTCATAAAGTTCTTTTGATTGTTTTATACTTTATTGTTTTGAATTGATGTACACCAGCCTTCCCCAACCTTGAGCATTCTAGACATGTTTGGACTGCAACACTCAGAATTCCCAGTCAATGGCCCTGCTGGATGGGAATTCTGGGAGTTGAGGTTGGAAATACTTTGAACCGCAACAGGTTGGGGAAGGCTGATGTACGTCATTGTTGATGGCTTTTTAGCTGGACAGGTAGTACACCCACGCTATAAATAAAAAATGCATAAAAGTATACTCTCTAAAGCAGGGGTCAGAACCATTTTTTGTAGTTAATGTTGTTGTTCTTAACAGTTACATTCCTTTAAGACTAATCTGTCCAATTCTTCATACTGGCTGTGACCCAAGACTGAAGCTGGCATTAGCAGGCTAGATCCAAAAATGGATACGGCTACCTCTTGTCTCTCTTTCTGACAACTCTCCCTCTCCTCCTCTTTTCCTTCTTGCCCCCAACAACCAAACTGTTTGCACAATCATCATAGGTTAAACAACCCAAAGTGGCATATGCCAGGTAATATATGCTTCATCACTCTCCTGAGCACAGCTTGTCATGCTGTCTGAACCCTGTCAGTATGGCTTGTTGGAAGGTGAATCAACCCTCAGTTAATCCATGGGCTGTCCAGATTTGTATGACAAGACAAACTGCACTAAGGTGAGTGATTAGGCAAATAGTATCCATCACCTGCCACTGTGGCTTGCTTAATGCACAGCAATCATGCAAACCAGGTCACTGAACCAAACCTTTGTTCTGTCTAGCTCACAGTTATCTATCTTAGCAAGAGATAGATCACTGAGAGGCAAGTTCTGACTTTGACTTAGTTTCCCTTTGCTTTAGAATTATCTTGGTCAGTGCCCAATTGCCAGTGACTTTTTAGAGTTTATTAAGAGCAAGCACTATCCATTCTTCATTCTGCTGAACTGAGCAGAACATACAGATGGGCAAAACTGTTGCAAGCAGAAGACTGGATTCACTTTTATCAATATGAAGAAGCAGATTTAAAAGATCCAGTAAAGCAGATTCTCACCTTCTCTGCCTACTTGAGCTTCACAAGAGAAATATGAAGGAATAACATTTTAGGGTGCAGTCTTATGCATGCTTTGGACTGGGCTCTTAGTGATTTCACTTAAGGGCAAATAGGCTCCCAAGGAAGGTGCACCAGGTCAACTATCAATCATTTATTTTGGATTAATTTCTCCCAGAACAGCATATAATTGCCAGGAACATAAGAAGACTGGAAAGTGCTTCCCTGAACCAGCGATCATTTGGCAGTTTGCAGCTCCCCTACCAGCACCACCCCCTCCTGCAAAAGCTTGAAATGCTTTTGCTAAGGCTTAGTTACTGGCAGTAAGAACTGTAAGCGAAATCATGCTGGTATTTTGACCATGGCCCTTTTGCCTTTGGCGCCAGCCCAATTTGCCTTTAGACCTTCCTGCCAATGGAATGTGGTTCCTGAAAGCTTCTCCAAATGGGAGGTTCTGCACCCTGGTCTATAATTGCATAAAATTTAAGGAAATGACAACACCCCACCCCGCAAAAAAGGAGAAGAGCTGCACAATAGATATGGTTCCCAAAACATTTCAGGATTTTTTAAAAATCATGGAGCATGTTTCATGCTTCTTGATAAAAACTGCTTGGAACAACATTTCACTCCATGGCGCGGAAGCAAACGCCAATCTGGGCAGGTCTCCTTCCACAAGAGCAAAAACACGGGTACTTACGTCCCATCCTCATTACTTCTGTAGAAAACCATGAATGGGTCAGATTTTCCAAAGAAATCTTTCTTGTCCAGCTTGTTGGCACAGAACTGCATTGTGGCCACATCCTTGGAATTGGAAGCAGAAAACATATTGTTGTCTGTCAGTTGTGCTGCTGAATTAACAGAATTAACATTTAGAAACGCCTTCATGCATATATTGCGGAGGTGGGGCATACAGTGTGAGAAGCCATGGCTGAAGTTGTCCCTATGGGAAGAAGAATATGGGTTTAAGGTCATTATCACTGGAGGAAATTTGCACTGGCAAGAAGTGGGAATGCTTGCAATGGCCAGAGAAATCCAAAGCAGCTGGTCACCCGGCATTCAACAGTGTCGTATTGCCCCTAGGAATTGAGATTTTTGAAATTTGTTTTTGCACTTATTTGATTGTGGCTCTTAATAAGCACTCTTCAACTCCAACCCAAACTCTGGCAGGTGCATTCAAACGTCAACTAGTGCTCCTTGTAGGAGCTCAAGTGAGTTAATTATTTTCGTATTAGGCATATAATCCAGCACTCTCTAATTTTGAGTCTCTAGAGATAAAACTATCTTGATTCTTAGGATTAAATGAGGTTTAGCTATGTTTCTTGTCTGGATGGGTACGGACTTATTTTTAGGAAGATGGTTCATGTATTTGTGGATCATTGTCACTGCTGTTTTGTGAATACACAACATCTTGATTGCAGCAACATCCCACAAATGACATGGATTCAATAAAGCCACAAATCCTTGTTAATATCTGGTTTGGAAGTTAGTCAGATAGAATGATTTCTTATACTATGATCAGTAATTTTAGGGGCCTGAAATGCACGGCATGGATTACTAGTTCCTGCATGGTCTATAAGGAGAGCTTCCAGGTGGCTAATGGCTAACCTTACCACCCACCGATTACATTAGCTCTCACAGCCATGGAATCACCCATAAGTAAATATCAGCATAAGCAAGATATTTCGGCATGTATTTGTTGTGTAGAAGGCAGTAGAGATGGTTCAGTTGTGCATTCACCATGCTTTCATCTTGGTGAGCTGCTACAGGGGAGTGAGGATCCATCTCTGTCAAAATCCTTTTCCCACTTCAAATCTACACTATCCAGTTTGGCACCAACAGGCATACACACTGACACTTGAGTGAGAACAGGCGGTGCATCTTTAGCCGTGCCTGGCTTATCCATTAGGACTCAAGTGCCTGCACTGCACCAGAAACAGGAGCTACAAGCTATCCCAGTGGGAATGAAATAGCAGCCTTGCCTGTGTAAATCTCCAGATACATATCAAGACATGGTGGCAGGGGTCACACCCTAAGCTTCTTTAAGAACAGGGGTGCAGTAGGTGAACCTGCTCACGTGTATCCACCTGGTGCCAATGCTGAGTCGGTCTGAAAAGGACCAAGGACTATCATGTGGGGAGAGGTGCCATGTTGGAGGTAGAAGTCAGCTAAGATCTCGGATCCTACACAAGACTTTTGCCAGTAGGAGGCAGTCCTGAGAGGGAGTCAGAGTAGGTTAGCATCTCACCTTAAGCACTGCGTCCTCACCTGAATGCACAGTCCTTCAATTTCCCTGCTAAATTTGCAGCTTGTGCTGCTGCAGGTAGGAAGCAGCTGCCCCTCTTCAGCAAGACATCAGTGACTCACCATGTGCATGCAAGCATGTAATCTTTCTGAGGAGGCCACTGAAACTGAGTGAAAAGGAGGAAGGCAGCTTCAAGAGCAGAGCAGAGCAAGGTGAGGGCAACCAGGTTGTCCAAGCCCCACTCCAGCGGTTCCGCTTGCCTTACGGGGCACTTCTGGGCAAGCCCCTTCCTCTTCGTGTTCCCAACTACCAATCTGGGTGTAACTATGGCTTGGTAATGATTGCCCGGGCTTTCTGAGAGCCTAAGTGGAAAGAGCACTAGGGCAGGCAAAGCAGAAATAAGGACTGCAGCACCCCATTGTGGCAAAGATCCACCCGAGGGGCAGGCTGACTGTACATGAAGTAGCTGCCTTGACCCCTCTTAAGGTGAACATTTTCATGCTTCCTAAAGGTAGCTTGCCGAGCATCGTTTTTTCATGCTAGCACTAGTATCCTGTGAGTAGAAAGCAAACAGCTGGACAAGAAAATCCATCAGGGATGCCAAAGTATGTCGATACAACAGGATGAGAGAAAAAAATTATGCCTAGTCCCTGATCTCAGGCACAATGAAGTACATAACATGTCTTGGCATGTCAATGCAAGAAATGCTTCATCTTCCACATTTTCTTGATTATGGCTCAATTTATTTATTTATTTAAAACATTTTTACCCCATCCTTTGCACAAGCCTCAGGATGGCTTACAAAAAAATAATTAATAATATAAAACATTTGATAATAACAAACTAAAAACTAACAATAATAACAATTCAAAACTAAAAAAGAAAGGAAGAAAAGAAAAAGAAAATGAGACTGTGTAAAATGTTATTAATTTTATTAAGATTATTAATTTAGTTATTAAAATGATGGGTAAATAAAAAGGTCAAGGGGTTCACTGTTCAGGTAACAGAAACTTCTCCCTGATTCTAGAAAAGGCTGCTAGAAAATGGTCAACAATATCCTTGAATACTGCATTGGAGATGCAAAGAAAGTGGGAAGTATTGAAAGATGACTTTTGTGTTCAGCAAAAAAGATGGCCTAGAGTAGAAGATGCTGCAAACCTTTACCCACCTACCTTGGTGTAAATCCCACTGAACTCAATCAGAATTACTTTTGTGTAGGTGTGTATAGGATTGCACTGAAAAAAGTTTTCAGTTGTTGTGGGCATTCAGCCACAGAGTTGGATCGCTTCCTTCCTAGGAACCATTTCTTGAGGGTAGCCAGGTTAGTCTATTGCAGCAAAAACAGTGAATGAAGAGCTGTGTGACACCTTAAAGACTGCATGTGTATTTTAACCTCTTTTTAAAAACACAAAGGCATGTTCAGGAACATGAGAGCTTTTGCTAAAGACTGTATTGCTTTTGCATTTGCATTTGGGGTTGTGAATGGGACAAATCAGAGGGAAAAATGAATCAAAATGAGACTTTCGTACATATCTAATAAACAGATGTCAGCAACTGAATAGGATTGGCTTCCCACAGTCATCTAGAGATGTTTGAAGAATTTGATCTTTGTGTATTCGTATGCAAACTGATCTGACATTCACTTTGCAGATTGGGAATTTGCAATGTTGGTCTTAAAAACTTACCAAAATACATTAAAAACCATATTTTAGGATAAAGCATTTATACGTGCATGCATGCAGATAAAAATACATGTATAAATGTGCAGTCTGTAGGGAAACATATTTAAAATATATTTCAATGTGTATTTATATACAAGTTTTCATGCTGATTTTTGTAAAGAAACAGAAAGGAACACACACAGAAATGCAGAAGTGGGATAAATGATACGTGCAAAATTGACATGGGGCATCAATAGATGGATCTGCCCATCCTACTGTCGTGACTCCTGCTGAGGCGTCGAAGGAAGCAAGGTCAAGAAGGGGGCTTATTACTACTGCTGGGTGGGCTGAGGCAAAGCATTGTCAAAAACAGAGTGGGGCTGTGAAGGGATCTTCACAGAACTGGGCTGGACCTGGAACCTCGCCTAAGAGCCACTCTTCGTCTCATGACCCATACCAAGGAAACAGAGCCCTCTCCCATCCTTGGGACTGACAAGGAGGTGCTTGGGTACTTCCAGGAAGGGAACAGGTAAAGATTAGTCTTCCTAGAGCTGGGATAGGGCATGTGTGGCCCTTCAGATGCTGTCAGACTACAGTTCCCATCATCCCTCACCACAGACTAGGCTGGCTAGGATTCATGAAGGCTGCAGTCCAGCATCTTCTGGAGGACCATGCATCCCACCCCACCACCGTTCCTGTGCTGCTACGGCTTAACATGCTTGAAGAGCAATGCATGGAGGTGACAGACATTTCCCTGGCAGGAAGGGTGAGTCCCCCCAGGCAGATGCATGTCTTTGCCTTTGCCATGGCAGTCATTCTAAGGCAGGGAGCAAACGCCACCAGGAAAAAGCTGGAAGCCACGTAGTTCCTCTGCTCCCACCACTTTTAAGTGTCCGCAGTGCAAGAGAAAGCGTGATGCCAACTTCTAGCTCAGACTCCAGGACAGCTCATGTGGAGCTAATTGTGTGTGTCTTGGTTCATTTCGATTGAAATGGGTGTTAAATTCTCTTTATAGCACACCAGATGGTGGGCTGCTTTGGATGCATTCAAGCGCACCCCTGAAATTCTGAGCGGACATTAGTGTCAGAAGCGGCACGCACGAACCAGACGGCAAGTGTCTAGTCAGCCGAAAGGGGACCTGCATTTCATGTTTATGAGCAACTGGGAGAGGGCCCCCAGTGTACTTCGTGTCACAACGAATGTCCAGGTGTGCTCATGTGTGCAAAAGCAAAAGATATTGTACACTGGTGTGTGTGTGTGTGGGCTTAGGACTTAAATACAACTTGCTTGAGTATTTATTTTCACAACTCTGAATGCAGAAGTTGTGGAAAGGAATTGCTCATGTGGAAAGGAATTGTTCTGTAATGCATCTTTTCCTTTTTCAGAATTTGACATGAATGCGTGCGTGCGTGCGTGGGGAATACACTTGTCAGTGTAGGAGAGAAATTTGGATTCTCCTCCCTTCTCCTCGCCTCTTTCAGCCATCAGAAATGTGGCTGAGAGGAGGTGAGAAAAGTACAGTGATACTGTTTGTGTTCCTTTCATTGTGTGGGAGAGAAAGAGAATGAGAGAGCCTGCCTTTGCTGGCGTCTAGACAGGCCTGTGTTTCTTTTGATAGATACGCCAACTGTGTGGTTTTCTTCTACTCCACAACATCAACAAACTGATGGTGGCAGTGCAGAGATGCTGAACCCCTAAGTGAGCAGCCAAGATTTGACTGTTGAGTTCACCCGGGCATAGCTGTGCCAATAGTCTGTCTCCCCTTCTGTGTCTCCCTTGCAGTCCAAGTTCATGACTGAAAATGTTCACTGCATTGACTCAGATGTGGCAATCGTAGAATAGTAGAGTTGGAAGGGGCCATGAAGGCCAATGGGTCCAAGCCCCTGCTGCTGCAGGACACCAAGTCACACCATCCCACTCAGATGGCTGTCCGGTTTCTTTTTGACTGTCTCCAGTGTGGGAGAGCCCACCACCTCTCTAGGCAGCTGGTTCCACTGCTGTATTGCTCTGACCATGAGGAAGCGTTTCCTGATGTCCAGCCTGAATCTGGGCTGTCGTAACTTGAACTGATTATTCCGTGTCCTACACTCAGAGGAAGAAGCCTGGATTTTGCCCATGAAACCCTGGCAGCCAAGGCTAGAGCTTCAGAACTCAAGCCATTTCCTCTAATGGGAGCTGGGCTGGGGCAGCTGCTCTGGAGCAACCCAGCGCTCCTGCAGGTTGCTCAAGCTGGCTGAGGATGATGGAAGTTGTAGTCCAACATATCTGGAGAACAATAAATTGGGGATGGCTGCCTTGGGGGAAAGACACTGATTTCAGGAGACAGACGTGTCCAGTGGCATTCTTGTAGGATTAAGAAAGAAAAAGAAAACTACCCAGTGTTGAAAAGCTTATTACTTTCGAATGCAAGAGGCCAGAAATTTTAGATTTTCAACAGCTACTCCAACCTGGTACCTTCCATCACCCACAGCCAGCATGAGCAATGGTCAGAGATTAGAGCGCACCAGGTGGGGGATAGGCTGATCTATGCTCAAACTGGGGTGGAAGATAGGTGCAATTCGCTTTTGATCCATTCATTCATTACAGATTAATTCTGCTCTTCCTACAAAAGCTCAGAAAGCTGTACATGGATGGACATCATCCTCACAACAACCTGTGAGGTAGGTAGCATGGGAGCAGTCCCTCCAAGACACACCCGGCTAAGTTCATGGCTTACTGACAACTTGAACCCAGGCTCCTTAGTCCTGGTCCAATACTACAGCCACTACGCCATACTGTCTCTCTGTAACATACGCACAGTAGCATTTTTATTTAGGAGTGGATCATTCTCTATTGGAATGCAGTTTTCATAATAATATTAGGGCCCACTTATGTTGCTACCTAGAAGGAGAACTGTATTTTATGTTTCAGATTTGTCAACTAGCATAAACAAGGTTGGAATAACGCAAACAGTGACATAATTTGCAGCTACAATTCAGATGTGTTCACAAGTAATTAAGGCTTACCAGGAAGTGTTATTCAGAGCTAAATCTTATGGCCACTGTCTTTTGTACCATGCATATGTAGGTGTGTTTTCATTCTTTCAGTGTGTTCTCATCCTCAGTGTTGTTGTTTTACTCTGTTAAATTACATGTTCTCATCCACAAGCCAATTCAATTATTTTGATAATAATAGTTCTAATAATAATTGTTTTGAAAATGTTATGATAGCTGTCTCAACAATAATTGTTCTATGCACCCACTTGAGAAAATGTCTATGGAACAAATAAACACTTTGATTAAATGCATTTATTTCATTTGTACTGTGCCTTTCTACCAACAAATGGCACTCAAGACAGCTTTGCTTCCCCTTAACCTCTTAATACAGTATTTTATGCACATGATAGGTAGCTTTGCAGGTGCCTTTTACTGTGACCATCAGACCATTACATGGTCAGTACCACATTTTCAGACATGCATTTGCATTCATGGATGTAGGTGCACATAACAAGTCTCCAAACACTGACAAGGATGCTTTTCCCAGCTTTATTATTTGTTCTTAGTACCATGTGATGACAGATGAAGATGTGTAACTGAGAGCTTATTTCTAGAACCACACAGAGGAGGAAACCCCTTACTGTTCATAGTGAAGCATTCTGTAAAAACATGATGTTCACCTGACCGGTTCTATGCACAGATTCATGTGTGCTCTACCAGATCTACCGGATTCCTTATAGTTTAGGCATCAAATCCATCTCTCTGAACATTCAGTCTTTTCCTTCTGCCCTCAGTTCTTGATGGTTGTGTTTGCTTGCCCTTAAGCACAAAGCCGAACTCTCCGTTTCCAGCTGTGGCCACCGTTTAGCCACTGATGACGGTTACAACTTAGCTCTAGCGGTGAAAACTGTTATGGGGAGTGTTTGGCCACTAACTGCAGCAGATGCTAAGCTCATGTGAGAGTATCTCACCTACAGCAATCAAGAACTGAGGAGAAGTGAAATCTCTTGCTGCAGCCGTATTGCTCCCTGGAGCTGCACAGTTTGTTTCTCTGCATTAGAATTATCTTACGGAAGCTCAGTCAAACAGTTTCTCCAATTGCTATGACAGAGTGAATCACCCTGGAGGTCAGAGGTCTCCCCTAAGGTCCAATTTAACGTGAAGCCAGCCATAGCCTACATCTTGGTTCAATGCTGACGGCTACTGAATGCGATAGTCTGGATTTATACCAAGTTAGCCTGCCAGCAGCGTAGCTACAGGAAGCTGCGATCCCAAGAGGGCAAGCTCTGCAATGTATGGCCCAGCAAGCACAGCAGCAGCCAGGTGGAACACTGGCTAAAGCATGCTTTTGGCCTGACTCAGATGCAGCAGGGAGGCGCATGGGACTCAAAGGGGACAACCTCCTATATGACGCTCACTAGAGCTGGAGGGCTGAACTTCAAGCCCGCTGGCCCAATCCGGCCCACCAAGTTTCTTCAGGTGGCCAGCTTCCTTTCCCCGTCCCCCAATTAGTCAAGGATCTCTGGGCCATAAACAACAATGCCAATGGTTTGGAGGGTTTCTGCTTTTGTACACTTTCCCATTCCGTGCAGTGGCCAATATGGTGTAGTGGCCAATGTGTTGTACTAGCAGTTGAAACTTGGGAGGCCTGAGTTCAAGCCCCCACTCAGCTGTAAAACTCACTGGGTGATCTCGGACCAGTCACTGGCAGCTGAACCTTCCTCACAGGGTTGTTGTCATGAGGATAAAATGGAGATAAGGAGGACTCTATAAGCTTCTCCTTCCAAGAAATAAAAAAGGCACGAGATAAATGTAATAATAAAATAAAATAGCTCCTAAAGGGACATACCTCTCTGAAGGCTTAGTTCCTGGCAGTAAGGACTTTCAGCTAAAGCATTTTGCTGCCTGGTACTTTTGGTATTTTTGCCCTACCCCACTGAAATGTGGTTCCCAAAAGAGACCCTGAAATTGGATTTGGGCTCAAAGAGGCTCCACACTCCTGCCCTCGAGCACTTTGGGCTTTCTGAAGTCAAGACACCAACACGTGGCTGCTGTCTATCCTCTCCTCTCCTGCTCCCTGGGAGCAATGCCATAACCAGAAGCTTGGAAAGCCAAGAATTACTCACTCTGCAGTTTCCCAGTTCCTCGGCTGACAGAATGATGGTGCCGCACTTCTTGCCGGGAATCCCCCTGCAGGAGCAAAGAAAAGGGTCAAACAAGTAGGCAAGAGACAAAGAAAAGAGGTGGCTTGGTTGGCATTATCAGTGAGCTCAACCCAGCCCCATACAGCATTGTGGTGTGAGTGTAGGAATGCGTCCCTGTGCTTTTGCTCCAGTTAAAGCCTCCCCATTTCCCAAGGAGACAAGAGTGTCTCAGCACTGCTCCGGGATAGCTGCAACAAGACTGGATGCACTCGACTGGATTCCTGCATGCAGCAGGGGGGCGGACTCCCTACCACTATGCAGTAACTGCTGGTGTTAGGCTGTCCTTCTGGGAAGGAATCAGGAAGTAGCTAAGGACAACCCTCCGCTGCATCTGGCCGGAGGAAACGTAGCCACAGCCTGCGAGAGCGCTGTACAGGGATCTTCCTTTAAATAAAATGTGTTTGTGTCAAAGTGGTCTGTTTAAATTGAATCACACTTTCAAACAGGCTCAAGGGCCTAAATAACCTCTTCCAGCTCTATGCCCTACAACAGTGGTCTACATTAAGAGCTTCATCTGAGACCCTTCTTCAGGAGTCACCCTCTAAAGAAGGGGCAGGTCGGCCACGAGAGGGGCCTTTTCAACAGGTGCACCCCATCTTTGGAACAGGCTCCCCAGTGAGGTACACCTGTGGCGTCCTTTCAGCACCAGACCATATCAAGAAATATTTTTAATGGATAGCTGATGCAACTGTGTTATTAAGATCTTCTTGGTGCTGAGTTATTTTATATGTTGCTGTTGCCAAACTCATTATTGTATTGACTTTTTAATATGATTGTTTTATTCTTTTAAATTGTTTTATTTATTTTGAACTCTTTATTTACTGTAATGTAAACCACCCAGAGGGCCCAATGGGCTAATGTGGCAGTGTAGAAATGTATTCAATCAATAAACTTTCTCAGACTTTGGACCTACCCTTAGCCCAAATCTGAAATGGGGGATCCCTTCTAACTTTGATAAATACTAGTGTTGCCCAGCTGATGCTTTTTGATCCATTTGACTTCTGCTGCCTTTTATTCATTGTTCTGTGGTGGATGCTGTTTGTATTCTGTGCATTGTCATTAATGTGCATAGATTGCCCTGGAAGCAGGGCTGGCTCAGGATGGGAAAGATGATGCCTGCTCTCATTCCATGCAAGTCTACTGGACTGCAGAGGAATTTGTCTTCAACCGTGGTGATGATGATGGGTCGGCTTCTTCCCCTCAGCCCAAGGGCAGCATGCTCAAGGGCCAGAGCAAGCTGAATAGGGCACAAGTCTCTCCCTCCCTTCTAACGCCTTTCTGCTGCTTCTTCTCAGTTCCTACTGCCAGAGGTGATGGCGCAACTCTTCCTAGGGGTAGGGTTCAAAGTTATGTGTCACCTACTCAGGGGTGACAAATTAAAGTAATTCCATTCAAGTGCGTTCAGAGAGACTGCCACTAAAACATTTCTGAAGGTGATGCAATAAAAGAGAACCAAAGGACAGCTTTTGAGGATGAAAATTGGCCAGATTGTAGCATCAATTTAACTTGTGTAGTATAAGGCAAAGTGAAATATTTATTCCGGGTGCCCATGCACGCGGAACACTGAAAGACAGAGCTCCCCATGGAGAAAAGCTAAAAAGAAAAAGATCACGTCAACATTTGTTTCCTGTTCTTTTTCTTTTTTGACCATCAGCGTTTCTGAACAGAACAATTTTGGTTGGCTTTGTGATTTACAGTCCTTCTGCCCATCCAGTCCCCTGACTGCAGGAGGCTTTGCTGGGTAATAATGGCTCAGGATGAATCCATCCTGCAGGCTGGATGACAAGTCTATTTGTTCCATGAGGGCTGGTAATTAGGAGGAAGACAGTAAATGACTGATATGACCTTTTCCAGTTCAGAAATCTAAATTACAAAAGCCCACAATCTACATGAACTGAACTATCTTAATTATGATTTTGGTTCTCTAGCAGCTAAGAGGAGGACTGGCTTTATTAGGGCTGATGGTTTTTTGGGCAGATTCAACAAATCATGAACAAGTTCAGGAAGAAAACAACATGAAAGTGAAATATTCTCCCCCAATTTTGCTCTGTGGAGACAGCTCCCTTTACAGTCTAAGACCCATGAGTCACACCCAGGCTGCTCTATACTTCCAACTGTGCCCTCCCTTATCCCCTCTGCACATGGAAATAAAAGGCGTGTCAGCATAACTGACATGTGGCAAACATTATCTGTATGGCGTTTGCCAGAAATACAAGATGTGCGTGTGAACACTACTACTCAACCTGCAGTAATCCATGGCACTAGAAGTGATATGGCTGGCTTGAGCCATAAAATAAACTCAAAGAGCCACATGAGGTTCCTGAACCTCTGTTTGGCCACCGCTGTTATAGAACAAGGAAGGAGAAGAAGCAGAAGTGTTCCCCATCTAGCATTTCCATCAGATCTGGATGTTACTTCAGAGCAGAAGGAACTGCGTTTCCCCTGCTCTCTCTTCCCCCAAATCCAAAGGTCACCTTATTTGCTAAGTCATTGTAAAAATAAATATGACAAGATTTGTATGTACAACAGACAGAATTAGAGGAAGAACTAAAAACAATAGGCCAATATTTTCTGTGTGTGAACTCAGTGGAAGCAATATCTGAATTATGATGGGTTTGCAGCACAAATGCACTTTTATGCTACCATGTTGCATAGGGCCCCTCTGGCAATGCAGGAACATGGAATTCCATCAGCAGAATGAAATGTCTATGCCAGTTTATGGTGAGTATCAGTGCCAAGCTCAGAGAGACAGGGGGTGGGGTCGCTTTTTAAGCACATGTGCCACTACTGGCAAAAAAGATTTCTGCTCTTTGCAAAAATTACAATGAGATTGTGCAGTAGGTGAAATGTGCCAGGCCAGTGACAGAGGAGCACACTTTCTTCTACTTTTCTCTTCTGTTGGTTCCTTAAAACACATTTCTATGCTAATCTATGGTAAGGAATATCAGGGGCAGTGCCCATATGGGAGAATAAGAGTCCTTAGCATGACTTACCCATTGGAGACAGAAGGCATGGGCTTCCCAGTTTTGGAATGTAATGTAAATGCTCCCATCCTGGTAAAGAAAAGAAAAAGAGCTAAAACTACCATTCTCGCTGATGCTATTCTTTTGTTCTCTCTTAATATTTATGAAACTGATCCTTTCTCCACAGCTCCCTGCATCCTTTTTGTTCATTCCCAATCAATTTGTGATCATAGTGTGAGAGTGGGACAGATCAGCAGCTTTAATTCAGGTTCTAAACAGCTTGGGACCAGAGCAGTTAGAGAAGGATCCAGTGGGATCTGCACACTAGTGCTGTTGATGTTGTACTGACATAACCCAGGGCTTTTGTCACAAATGCCTGCCGGTGCAATAGGCTTCCTGGGAAATCTGCTGCGGCAGCAAGCGCTACTGACATTGTGTTAGGCTAGTACAACATCAGTAGGGCTCTGCATGGACGCCGCTGGATCCTTCTGTCTCAGTGCAACCCTATGCTTTTATAGCCAGAAATAAGTACAATTACATTCAATGGGGGCTTGAAGCATTGCAACTCTGAATGATATTTTTCTCTAATACCGTCTACCCATCCACTTAGGTGAGTTGTGGAGGCCCTTCTGTGCATCCCACCAAGGTCTGAAATGGGGACAGACGGTGGAACTTCCTGGCCTGGTTTTTTATTTACTTAATTCGTTTTATTTATGTAGTGCTCCATAGCCGAATTTCTCTGGGTTGTTTACAAGAATCTCTCTTTTTTTCCATTTTGATAGCATTCTGATGCCACCCGCGAACCCTTTTCTTCCATAGACCTTTGGCATGGTTGGCCTTCCAAGTAGTTAACTTCATTCTCTTGCAACTGCTGATTTTACCCACTGTGTTTGTGCTTTGGAACTGTTTTCATCATATGATCGGTGCACTGATACCTTGGGCAATTCCGTTTGAAATGGAAAGGCGGAAGATATACATATTAGAGATAAAGGAATGAATAAATGCAGCTGTGTGGGTTTGGTTATGCGATAACATGCCGGACATGAGTCCAAAGGCAATTCAAGCTACAGTCTAACTTCAGGCTGACTTCACATGTGTTCATCACCCAACGGCAGCTACAGCAAGCAATTACCTGCATGTTTGACATGGTTCCTGCAGATCAAATATTAAAGACAGAGCTTCAGATCACCTCTAATATCAACTTTCTCAGTTCAGTGCAAACAACTGAGCAATGCCAAACAGAGCAATGTACGTATAATTTGCATACCATGAATGCAAATAAAATTCAGCGAGCCAAACCACTTTATGCAAATTAAAATCCCAGTAAGGTCTTGGCTATGCCAATGTTCATAATGGGGACTTCTTTGATGGCATACTAAAATCACTAAGCATAGAGAGAGTTCCATTGGTTGGGTTAGATTAGATCTGTAACAATCCGACATGAAACAGCAAACAAGAGGCTTATCTGTCTATACTGAGAGTTTCTCTGGAGCCCTGCTTTTTGTCCTTAAGCACTTGTCTTTCCAGATTCTCTGGCCTCAAAAACACCCTACAACAATCAAGGAAAATACATTCAGAGAGATAAGTCCACGAAAGAATCTGCCTGCTTGCCAGCAATCAAGCATGTCCTGACCTTGACAAAAGCATCACCCTGCCCTGGAATTTAACTTAGCAACTTGGTGTTTATGCCCAAGTGGAAGGCAGACACGTTGCGGAACTGTTGGGGTCTCTGAGCTTTCTCCTCCACCTTCCCCTTCACTGCCAAGAGCAAGTATTCCTTCTAAATTCCCCCACTTCCCAGGCTGCAAAGACAGAGAGTAATTCCCTTCCCTCACCAATAAAGTTTCCTTGGCAATATTTATAGAACTTGACTGGGTCCCCTCCTCTCACTGAGAGCTCTGAAATAGTCACTTCACTTTCGCTCTTTGTGCCTTGGCTCGGTTCTGCGGTAGAACTGGAAGCGGCAGCTGAAGAGGTGCAACTGCTACAATCAGCTCAGGGTTCCCTGCCTCCCAGGACATGGAGTGACTATCCTGTTGTTCACCAGTATAAAGAAGGATGGAAACAGAAATGAATATCTCCCTGAATTGGACCAAAGACTGCTACCGCCAATGGTCAATGTCAGGGACAGCCCTTCAAGGAAGCCAGGTGGATCTGCCACTTCTGGAGGTGAAATGGGAGGGGTGGTAAACTGCACACTACCCTGCCAACAGGGTTCCTCTGGGTGCTGAGGGCCAGGCAGGCGAGTACCCTTGTGCTGACTGGGCTTGCTCAAACTGTGGCCTAAGGGCTGTACAGTGGGAGCCCCACTGGCACTGCTGTAGGGAGGGAAGCAACCAGTGGGACTTTCCGGAGTCCCATTCTCACCCATGCTGGGAGGTGTGAGTGGATGAGAGAGCACTGGAGACGTCTGGTGCCTTAGTAATATTTTACTTATTGACCGAAGCCCAGGTGCCTCTTCCACGGGCAACAGGTTCCCAGTAATCCATCAGTGAGCACTAACCGAGCATTCAGCCCTGGGGGTGAAATGCCCATTCATGGGACCATCCATAGAAGAGGCAGTCTTATGCATGTGTACATGGGGAAAAGGCCCTACAGTTCCAGCATGGAGTCCTACACTGAGCAGGGACTGAATCCTCCCAACTTTACTATTTCATGATTCCATAGGATTGTGATAACAAAGTGCCCCAAGATATCCTGGTTGAGAAATGGAGGAGTTTTGGGATACATCAAAGCACTGTCCAATGGATTAGGGCATGATTGATGACCAAAAGCAGAGGGTAACCATTAGTGAGGAATCATCAGGATGGCGGCCAGTGACAAGCGGGTGTCCTGGGGCCAATCCTGTTCAATCTTTCATCAACGACATGGAAGAAGGGGTGAACAGTCTGCTGATCAAATTCACAGACGACACTAAAAGGGGGCAGTGGCCACAACTGAGAAGCAGGTAGATTCAAAGGGATCTGGACAGACTATGGAAGTGGGCAGGGGACAACAGGATGGCGTTCAATGTAGGTCAGTGCAAGGCTTGCACTTGGGGCATAGGAATGGGTTTCATAAGTACAAGTTAGGGGACAAGTGGCTGGAGTGCAGACTTGTGAAAGGGATCTTGTGGTACTGGTTGACTGCAGGCTAAACATGAGTCGGCAGTGTGACGCGGTGAAGGTGAATGCCACCCTTGGATGCATAGCTAGAAGCGTGGCCCCTAGATCGAGAAAGGTATTACTGGTGTGCCCGCAACTGGAGTATTGTATTCAGTTCTGGGCGCCTCGTTACAGAAAGGATATAGCCAGGTTAGAGTCAGTACAATGTAGGGCCACAAGGATGGTGGTCGGATTGCAGGAAAAACTGTATGAGGCGGGATGGAGGGAACTGGATCTTTTCAGCCTGGAGAAGAGAGACTCCGAGGGGATCTTTTGGAGACATACAGGTATGTGGGGGGGTGTCACATGGAGGTGGGTAGAGACCTGTTCTCTCCTGCAGAGGAAGGCAGGACGTGCTTCAATGCAGCAAAGCTCAGGGAACCAAGGTTCAATATAGATGCCAGGAAGTACTCCCTGACAGTTAGGACCCCAAGGGTATGGAATGGGCTTCCATGGGAGGTGGTTGAGGCCCCATCGGTGAGGGTGTTCAAGGATAGGCTAGACATGCACATGGTGGGCATGTCGTGAGTGTAGCCAGCCTTAGCCAGGGGTCAGACTAGATGGCCTGGGAGACCCCTTCTGACTCGCTCTGTTTCTATGTTTCTATGGGTAGTATCACAGAATCGCAGAAGTGTAGAATAAAATTGGAACAGACCATGAAGGCCATTGGGTCCAACCCCCTGCTGTGGCAGGACCCCATTTTACACCATCCCACTCAGATGGCTGTCCAGTTTCTTTTTGAATGTGTGGGAGAGCCCACCACCTCTCGAGGCAGCTGGTTACACTGTCGTATTGCTCTGACAGTGAGGAAGCTTTTCCTGAATCTGGGTTGTTGCAACTTGAATTGATTATTATGTGTCCTACACTCTGGTATATGAGACAGCCTGGACCTTGTCATATGCCATCTCTTTCCATACCATTTATTAATTTACACTGCCATATTTGAAGGGGCCACCCATGTTCTTTGCTCCTCTTTCTGTAATGTGAGCAGTATGAACAAAGGGGAGATACTATGCTTTGGCCACATTCTGGGTGCACGGGCCCAGATCTCTGCAGGGTCTCCTTTCACTGCACATGCGACTGTGCCTGTACCAACTCCCACTCCAGCAAGAGGGCTGAGATGAGGCTCAGAAAGGCTCGTGTTCAGGCTGCAATTATCATGCAGTTTATGTAATGGTAGGTGGTGCTGGAGCAGAGATGACTGATGACGCCAGCTGCAGCTCCTGGCAGTGAAGAGCAGCCGTCTTTCTCCCTACAGCTGGAGAGAGCACTGATCAGCAGAGTGAGGAGTTGGAGGCACATCTTGGCTTGGTGCTGTTTCTTTCAAGTGTCAGCCTGGTCAGCATCCTTTGGAAGCATCAAAGTGTTACTCAGATAACGCGTCACATTCTGCTGAACTTTCCCACCACGCCCTAACAAGTGGTCAACTTCCCTCCAAAGCCAAATGTAGGAAAGCAGATTCTGTCCGCATCGTTGCAAAACCACACGTGTCAGGGACCAATCTGTGTACAGAACCACAAGACCTCATTGCAGCAGGACTGGGCATAAGGCAGAACAGGGAGCAAGGCAGAAACAACTGTGGATTAATTAACTCAGGATTTGCTCAGTTGTATGTCAGAGGTGCGCCATGGCTGCTTTACAGTATCAATCTGAGGCTGCTTTATAACTCTTAAGCCCAAACACTATGGGTTACTCATGGGTTAAAGAACCCACAGTTAACCTAAGAACTGTATGTCTACTGGCGGTTGTTTAACACACCCTTACAGTCTGGGTTTCCAGGTCACAAAACAAGCTCCACTCAGGCCAATTGGAGGATGGTTAAGCAGAGCAGCAAGTGTCAGGCTGCAACTTGTGTTAATTAATTAACCCAGAATTCATTGCTGTCTTGTGCGAAGTTGGGAGAGCGAGGAATTTCGACTGGGCGAGCAGATAATGCCAGCATCCCTG